ATGACCAGAATTATGGAATTCATTACGAATACACCATTCCTGTAAACTATACTGCTGAAAACAGAAGCGAGCCAGAAAAGCAACAGGATTCTTTGTACATCTGGACGCACAGCGGATGGGAAGGGTGCAGTGTGCAGTGTGGAGGAGGTAAGGCCATTTGGAAGCTTGGTGAGACTTACCATACGGTGTTTGCAGACACCAGCCGTTAGAGAGGTGCCTGCAGAAGACAGTGTTGCCAAAGCATGAAGGAAACCGACCCTGGGAATGGATGTTGCTATAATGAACTCAAATGAGAGCTCATTCTCACCAGCTCTCCCAGCTATCATCCACATCCCCACAGTTAATTTTCACCCAGTATTTTGGCAGGGACGCCGCTTTGTCGGCTCGTTACCGTAGCTGGAACTGCACCTGGGTTAATGCTCCATGGATGGCTCAAGGCACTGTGTGCAGCCCCGTATCTCAAGCTTCCGTCACATTCTTGGAGCCGAGTTTTCACAGGTGTTCAGACATGTTCACTGAAAGACACTTCCTTCCCCAGGGATGAAACAGGGGCAGTGCTGCTGTGACAACTCCTGGAGATTGCGTCAGACGCTCTTAATGTGGGGTGGACTTTCGAGGAGTACATGAGCACACTGCAAATCACACTTTTCCGATGATCCCTAGGATGCGCTGAGACAGATTTGCTGAAACCCTAGGGGGAATTGATGCCTGTGAAGTCAGAGACTGGTTTATCGGCCACTGTCCATGCTAGAAGAAGCAGATTTTTCCCTGAGGAAAATGGATCATTTCCATGCATTCTGGCCAGTCTTTCTTTGCCAGCAGACCCAATTATTTATCATATTATATGACACAAAGAAAGAATGTTCATCTTCATATTTGAAGGCTCACTGCCCTCAATGTACTGAAATTGTGGATTTATTTTTTTCTGTAAATAGAACTCATTTTAAAATGGACACTTGCTTTTACTCATGTTTTAAAACAATAATTTCTTAGAGCCATTAAAGCCTCACATGAATGAGTCGGAAATTTGTTTGTGGCTCTTTTGGTTCGTGTTGCAAACCTGCCACATATTTGAAGCAAATCGGTACCTGGCAACATGACTCCTACCAGTAGTAGCAATTGGATGCAATTGATCTCATATTTTGGTTGTGAGATGCTTTTACTACTTAGCCAAGCCAGGAAGAGCCTTTTCCCTTCCATACAGACCTTTATAAATTTTTTATTAACAGAATTTGAGTTATTTCTTAGTATTTGTTGCAGATCATGAATAAACTCAATTTGATGAAGAGTCAGGGCTAAGAAGAGGATCTGAAAAACCAAAATAATTAGCAGTAAGGCAAAGTCACGTGGTGCAGGAATAGTATTTTCCTTGTCGCATCTGGTCATTGTCATGCTGCCTTGTGCACAGCTTTCCTGATGTCGCACCGTGGAAGGCTGAACCCTGAAGGCCACACTGCTGTGGTGAAACTCCTGATGCACAGTTTATGTCAGAAATGCTGACTACTCCTGAGATGTCTTTTACTGGCAGGGTTTTCAAAGTAGTATATCTGGAAGACTGAAGATGAGAAATTATTTCTTTTGGTGGCTTAATTTCACCTCTTTGTGAAATATGAACAAGCCCATATCATTCTTGAATCCCGGTTACTCCTTCTCAACCTGACTCTTTCTGAATGGGGAGCAGTAAGAGGCAGCTGTCCTGTCATTATCAGTCTCTGAGGGGTGGACGATTGTGTGGCTTCAGCTTACATAGCTGCAGCATCTGTCCTAGGTGATTACAGGGCACAGCTTCACGTGGAGGAGGAACCAGAAATGAAAACAAATTGCTTTCAAGATTGTTTTCACATTAAAGACTAGAAAGAGAAAGCCAACATGTTGTTCCTGTGAAGCAGTCAATTTCACAATTATTGAGGAAAGTTTTGTAGCTTGTGGGGGAAAAAAACAACCAGAACAGTACAAAGGTAAAACAGAAGTGGGAAATAAGATTGCTTGCAGAGGTGGTAGGTCTCTATAGATTACATCTTGGAGAGGTAGTAGGGAGCTCCTAGCTTTTGAGTTTTGGTTAACAAGTTGACATGGTTTTGTTCTTAGCCACTAGTTTCCTTTCTCAGATTTGTTTTTTATTTATTTGACTTGTAGGTGAACGGAAAACCATTGTGTCTTGTACTCGAATTATTAACAAGACCATGACACTGGTGAATGACAGTGACTGCCAACGAGTGAATCGCCCCGAGCCCCAGGTCAGGAAATGTAACACACACCCCTGCCAGTCACGGTAAGGAGTTAAAAAATAATAAAACCCAATATCCTTTTCCTTCACAAATCACCCATTTCCAAAGCCTCCATCTGGTGAACACGGTGAAAATGTCTAAAAGTACTGGAATGCATTGTTAGCCCTAGTAACCAGCTGTAATATTCATTTCCTTTTGTTGAGCAGGTTAGATTTTCATTACCTCAGAGTCCATTTAATTTGTGGCCAGCAGGGCCAGATTCTATGCAAGCTGCCTTCATGCATTGTTTAGGGATGGGTTTTTTTATCCCCTTTGATGCCTCCTGGGTGACAGAGCAACTGGCAGTATAAAGCTAGACAGGAGTGCAGTGACAGCATATCTAACCTTATTTTTTTTTTAATCAGCACAGACTAGGGTCTGATTAATTGTCAAAGAGTGCTACAAAACACCTCACAAACAACCCACCGCCTTTAAGCTACTACAGCTGACCTGCTGTGTTGCATGCATGATCTGTATTAGCACAGTTCAGACTGGGAGTCTCTAGTCAAGAAGCGTATCTTCTTCGTGTGAAGTTTGTACGGTGTCTAGCAACACCTGCATAGTTCTGGAAAAATACCTGAATCTTGCTGAAGTGAAGAAATGATGATGAAACACATTTTAGATGCTTTCCTCAGTAAGGGTGCTTTTCTGCATTAGCTGGAGTAATTAGAGATCTAATACTAATAAGTTCCAAAAATAATAAAAAGCTTTCTTTTTAATTTGGCAAGCACTTTTAGCTGAATTAGTTTTAATCTGCATTGTATAAAAAAAAAGAGGTTTCTGGCCAAAATGACAAAACATAGAAGGCAAATTAATTTGTTCAGTTTGTTTGCTAATGAAAAAGTTCATTCTTGCTCTGCAGTAATGTTCAGCATTGTGGAGTAATGTAGATGCTCCACTTTGACAGTAGCTAGAACATAAAATCCATTTAGGATAAAGCGCAACAATATCTAAAAAAGCATACTCAAAACACCCTGCTAGCTGTTGCATCTCGTTTAATCAGACAAGCCAGGGAAACCTACCTACAAAGCTAATCCTGGCCAGCTACAAAGCTGGCAGAAACAATAGGGAAAATGAGAAACAACACACTTCCTTCTAATTAGACCTGCACTCTGATTAAAGTGCCCTGAAGCAGAGAAATCCAATGTCAGGTAATCCATCAATAAGCCTAGGCCGTTTCAGGTTTCATTTTCTGTCTGCACTGCCCATTATTGCTGCTGTACGCTGTTGTGGCCATACCGCTCTCAGTGGTACGGAAAGGCATAATGAGATATCCCATGTGCTTCTAGGTGGGTAAGGAGAGCCAGGCTCTCAATGACTTCAAGGAAACTGTCATTTCCATGAGGAAGTTTCCTGAATTCAGTGATGCTGGGACTTCTGTCATGTCATTTTCTCAGAAAGACAGAAGGAAGGAGTATCTGCTTGTGTTTCTGCCCTGACATGAAATATTTCTTCTAGACCTTTTGCGAAGCCATTGGGAGGAGACTGGAGTGAGCCCAGGCAGGTGTATTGGAGGGGTTCTAGGTGGTAGAGATGAAGAAAAACAACTTACAAAGTTCTGGAAGAAGTAGGAAGCTTCTGCCTCTGCTAGCTAAGAGCAGCTAAGGGACGTCTTGGCCATCAGGTCTGTTAGAGCCGTAAGACCCACAGTGCTGTTTCTCAGTGGGATCTCCATGACCCTGAGCCCTTGGTGAAGTCTCCTCTTTGTTGCACACTTTCACCATGACATTCCTGCCTGGCCACGGCAGGGACAGTGGATTAGGTAAATCACACAAATCCTCCTGAGAAAAGAATACTCTGTTCCTAAATCCAGACTGTATTCTTTGTGGATTCAGGTCCAGCCCTTAATGTTATTCCAAGGTATCTCTTCTGTATGGAATTATCAGGCAATTTATAGCCACAATTTAGCACAGTTGTCCCCAGAAGCAATTAGCACTGCCACAGGGACACTCTCATTGGACCATTTTTTGTCAGAGCAATGACAGCAAGCACCAAATGTGCTTAGTACCCGGAAAGGCCACAAAATCCTTGCTGATGATCTGATAGACCACACTCTCTCACTCACTCCGTGTAGACTACACTTTCACACTTAACATGCTTTTGACTGGAAACATTTTCAGAAGCACATTCTCTGTGCCTCTGTAGAATTTAAATTTCCACTTGCTTTTGCCCACCCAGATATTAGAAATGCATGCTTAGCATATTCTCTGACCAAGAACATCTTAAAGAAACCATTCTCTTTCACCATGTCAATGCTTTTTTTTATAAGCCCTGAATTTGTTTTAGGGTTTCAAGTAAAATTATTGTAGCATCTTGTTACAATAAGGTCCTTTCCCATTTCCACTCAGACCTAAGCCCTTTACCTGGGTGTAGAAGAAGGAACAATGCTTTCCTTTCTATAGTAAACCTGCTGTGCTTTGTGCATTTTGATCTACATTTATACTTTTACTCAAAATTTAGAAAAATCACTTTACAGAGGATTTATCTCTAGGGAGGGGTCTTATGGCCAGCACAGGACTGGATCATAGGATATTGTCTCTGTTTCTCTTTTGGATGTGCAGTGTGACTTTAATTCACTATCCCACATTGTCCCTTTGCTTCCTCTCTTAATCCGTGTATAATCTGGATTGCAGAGTCTTTGGGATGGGGTGAGATCATGTTGTATAAATGGAGGAAGAGGAGGAGGCTATTGCATTTGAGATATTATAATAAAAATTAAAAAATAATAACCCATGTTATATATATAAAGTTATCTGGAGAAAAAAAAAGGGTATGATATTAGTAACAGTGTCTTTCTTCCAGCACCATCCCAAAGTGCTTTGCAAATTATATATCCCTTTGAACTTCAGCCACATCTTGGGAGAGCCAAATAATGTGGGGCAGGGGACAGTAGTTTCATGAGGCCAAGGAGAAGATTAGAACTCTGCAACTGCAACCCAGCATCTGAAAAAAACAAGGCAGGATTGAAAAAAGGATTGGACACACTGACATGTTTTAAAATTAAACGTCAGAGAAGAGAATTTTCTTAAGGGTTTTGTTGAAACTGGCAAAAATAAAAGAATCTTTCAATCTTTATTATTGTTACTCTTTCACCTTTTAAAAAAATGCCTCTTTTTCTTCCTATTTTATTTTTTATGTTCCTTGACCCTCTTTTTCCATTAAATTCTTTACAGCTTCCTTTCCTGTCCCAACTGCACCCTATTAGCACCTCTTTATTCTAATCCTTTGCCTAGCTCTTTAGATATTTTTTACAAAGCCCTCCTGTAACCAGATGGAATCTGGATTCTTGCATGCGGTGCGTATGGGTTGTTTCCAGCACACTGAACACCAACCCAAATATATAGGCAAACCCAGCACTCATGTTGGCACAAGACTCAGAAATCACAGATCACATCAGCTGTTATTACTGAAAACATAGGTCGGCCAGTGGCCACACACTTCAACATGCATGGTTGGGTCTATGAATGTGAAACTGCTCCCATCTAATGCAGGAAAAGAACCAAAAACACATGAAATTTCCCAACTGTTAGAATTGTAATGGCCTGTATGCAAACACTATTAATTTTCCTCCTCTTTGCTGTAATAGATTCTAATAGAGGTTGAGTTCTTTCAGGGACCTGCTGAATATGTGGTGTTCCTACACAGATGCTTAACAGCAGCATAAAAGCTGCCTTCATCTACAGAAAACCACAGGAGACATGAGCCCTTATTTTCACTGTTTAGGACTTGAAAGTATCTCCTCAGTCCAAGGGTTAGTTTTCTGCCACTACCAGCAGCATGTCATAGACTCCTTTCCATAAACTGGTTTTGCTCCACAGTCTCCTTCCCTCACTGGAAGGCTCTCCTGTGACCTTGCTGTTCATGTGAGTCAGGATCTTTTAATTCCAGCATTAATTATTTATTGTCATTTTTCAGCCATTTGTTCTTGCATCAGCTCTGTTCCTTTGCTTTGATAGTATTTTCCCTCCCTATCTCTTTGCCTTGGGCTAAGTGCCATATGATAAAGCATACCAGTGTATCTCCTCCTTCCATCATTTTGCTGGGCTAACTCCATTACTTTTCTTTAACTTCTTATTGGATCAGAGATTGTGCATCAATTCTTCATTACCTTGGTTACCTTGGTCACCTTCTCTACTAGTGGTCTAATTTACATTACTTAAATTAATAATTTGAGTACATAGGTGACCAGAAGTGTATGGAGAATCCCGGTCCCAGTCCAAGCTACCCTTACACAATTGCATTCATACTTTCCTGTCTTCATTGGGAGTAATGCTCCTAATATATGTACTTTGCTTTTTTCATGGCTGCATCATATTTGTGGCTTACAGTCATTCTAGACATTTTCCTCCTCATTTCTTTCAACATATGAATCCTACTTTAACACAGAAATGCTTGTTATTAGTCCCTAAGCACACAGCTTTACAGTGTGCTATTAATTTTCATCGTACTTCTGTTATTGCGGTACTAAAGGTTATTCAGTTCTTCCTGTATGACATCCTAATCTTCCATTGCATTGACAAGGCTTCTAGACTTTGTATTGTCAGCATTTTCCCCAATTTTTCAGAAGTTTTCTTCTTTTTGTGCCAAAGTCATTAATGAACATGCTAAATTAGATCAAATGCAAGACAGATCTTTCAGGAAGTCCACTGGTAACTAATCTAAATTCCTGACATATCTGATATTCCTTTACAGCACTACACTGTGGCAAGCTCTCACCTACCATACAATTTACGCATTGATATCCATGTTTCCCAGCGTATCACCAGTTTCTCCAACTTACATATGCATTTCCAGTGCAGCAAGAGGAGTTCTTTACTGATAACCAAACAGATTAAATCTACCACATTTCCTTTGTCTGGAAAAGCAGTTATTTTAATCAAAGAAATACAGCCAATGAGTTTTTCCTGGAGGAAACCTATGTTGCATCCATTTGCCATTATTTCTTTGATTATTGTTTCCCTCCAAATCCGCTCTAAAAACTGGCACGCTGCTGAGGTTACATGGA